TTTATGGAGGAGGCATTTTTGGTTGCTGTTGGGGAAAGAATGGGAGTTAGAATGTTTTACTAATGGACTACTGCAAATCCATCATAAATGACCCAAACATCTCCTTGTACATCCAGATTTGTATTCTGCATGTTGTAGAAAATAATCTTCACTGAATACTGTATAGAGTTACTTCACGTTTTAATTGTCATTGTTTTCTCTTTTAAATAAAGCATGCTGCTAAATACAACAATATTTTGATCCTGAATTTTTAATTTCCTTCACTGCTCTACTCATCACTGTGGTACACACATTCCTAGCAAACATGAATGATCTACTGTTGTCAAAAATGTTCCTCCAAGGAAGAGAATTAATTGTACAAATGAGGAGGAAAAGCACAACAAAAAGGCCATATTACATAGGAGAATAATATCTCAATTCAGGATTGAGCAATTCTGAAATCTTTTTTACCTCCTCATCTTAAAATGTCTCTGGCAATTTGCAATAATGACAGTAACTCACACACTTTACTTTTCCCCCTTGAAAACATACTTCCGTTAATATTAGACCCTGCTGTGAAATAACACTGAGGCCATTGTTTAGGACAGGCTTTAAAAATAGTAACTTTTCCCAGCAGTGGAATGCACTTTGTCTGATTGGTAGAGACACTGGCTTCATTTCTTTGTCAAGCTAAAACCACTTTTCACCCAAGCTTTTGGGGCCTGTTGAGCACAACCCACTTCTGATCTGTTGGGGGTGTGGACTTTTGAAAAATTGTTTTATAATTTAATTGTTTTATGTTATAGATATAGGGCAGGATGTAAATATTTAACTGAATTAATTTCTGTAGAGCACTGGAGTTTTTCCATGCTACCATTTCATACAGTTCTGGAGAAGTCTCTTAATTGTAATTTACTTCAGTGGGTTTGACGACACACATTCTAGTGCATGTCTGTCCGCATATAATGAATTAATTACAATTTTTATATATGTGAAAAATAAATGTGAGTGGGACTTTCTTTTAATTAAAAAAAGAGGAGATGCAAAGGATTTCAACAGTTAAGACACAGGAAGGAAATTACAAAGGGAATCTACGCAGTGAAATAAAAATTAACTTTTGTACTTGACAAGCTAGAGAATGGAGAGTAGAGAAATAATGTGCATATGAAAAGGATCTGAGAAGAAGCAAGAAAGCTTAGTGACTTTTACATAAAAATGGTGTGAAGAAATGTTAGATTATTATAATCACAGGGAAAAGGTTCATGCTCATTATTTTGCCAGCATTGTGGAACTGGATACAGAGGCTTTGACAGGCTACTGAACATAGCTAAAAGAAAAATTCTGGGGAGAAAGCCAGATAGAACAATGCATTGTCCATTAAGTGTCAGGAAATGACTTTAATTTTTTCTTTCTTTCTTCTGGGTCTTAAACCAAGAGCAGCATCACAGAACAATGGAGCACCATGAAAATGTAACTTACTGGAGATGGTGTTTAGCTCCTTTTATGGTGCCTGTCTTGCAGGGGGAGTAAGACAGGAAGAACATACTATATGGGAATATTATGAAGGCAGAAAGATAATAAAAGTATCTTGGTGAACTTGACTTTGTTGTGACTAACATCACTCCTGTTCAGTGAGTATAAGTATGATGAAACCTAGGTTTGTTCCAGCAAATCCAACAGGGATGAATATGCTTTTTCTTTTGTGTAATAAATATTGTGGTGTGCATCATGGGGGCAAATATATGGTTTGGATTTGAAGTGCAGACTGAATATCTGCCTTTGTACTTCATTTCCTGATCATGTTACTTGTCCCTTGTGACTGGCCAAACCTTAACCAGACAGCTTTAGGTCCTTATAGCAACAATTTAATTGGGGTGCTCATAACAGTTTCTTAGTTGTCCGAATATGTCCATGACTCCAAGGAATTTTAGTCCCTTTGTAATTTGACAGCAAAGCACAAATTACACATTAAGTTTCTGAAGTCAGATAATAAAATGTATCAAGAGACAACAGAGAGGATTCTGTACTTTATTCATTTACAGTACAGTATAGGAAACATCTGTTGAGGATTGTGGTATATACTAATGAACCATATATTCCAGGACCATATATGGTCCTTTGTGCCTGTCCAGCAGTGAAAAAAACAGAAAGAATATATATGGGAAGACTATTATAAATGAAGAAAATAAAATTATATTGGTGAACCTGATTTTTTGTGACCAACTTCAGTTGCAACCAATCCTATGAAATAGTTCCACTGTTGATTTCTTCCAAGCATATAGTGTGTGCACCAAGCAAACAACGTGGTTATGAAATGAAATCTTCATACCTATGAAGTCAAGATGGCCCTCCAGTTATTTCCAACCTGCAACTGACATTAGTCCTAACCAGCACAACTTATGAGTTGTAGTTCAAACAAGAGACATATGGAAGTCAGATAATTTTATATGTTGATTACACTGGCAGTGTCAGGCTTTTGACTACAAATTTTCATTTGGGAAATGTAAATAAAAATGGTAGTGAAAAAGTGGTAACTGGTACCTGCTGCCAATATGCCTGAACAGTGTATGTGAATGTAAAGTACTGTATATGGGATACCACATTCTCTCTCTGTCCCACCACATCCTTCCTGTTCCCAGCAATGTCACATTGAGGGGTAAGCTCCAGGGGGTAGCACTTGTGTTGTCATGAATATGACTATTGGTGCAATTAGGGTCCTTCTTTATCAGGGTGCCTGATGCACTGGGAGTGTAGGTTTTACAAGCATTCAAGAGAAGAGGGTTTCAAATTGGATGCTTCTGTTTGAATACAAAGTTGACTCTAAGATGCGAACGGGCATGACTCTGCCTCCCTTCATGCAGCTTTCCTCCTCCTCTGCACAGCGATTGTTTTCAAGCCTCTTTGGTTCTGGTGGTGACGGAACCCTGCACGGGGGCTGGAGTTCTATATGCATGCAGGGGCAAAGTCGTATCTGTGAGGCAGAGCTCCACACAGGGGCTGAAAATCAGAGAGTACATTGTTTGAATGCCATCAGATTTACTCAATGCAGAGAGGCCAGACACTTGAAAGGGTAGTTCTGGTATGCGGAGGGCACTGGGACATAGCACCTGTACTCGTATGTTCACACACACTGCCTGGATATAAGAGAACAGTACTAAGCAACTGGTATGTATAGATGATACATATAAACGAAACCTTTTTTTGGACATATGGCCAACTTAAATTAATGCATGTGACTAGCTGTTCCCTCTTCTGCTGAAAGATGACTTTATTATTTCTACCGCACAAGTGGCCAAAAATACTGTATGTTCTTTGCAGCATAGTTGTAATTCTTGAGGACAGCTCAGACTGTGAATACAAAATTCAATATTGTGGGACTTACTGCAATTATAGTATGGGTCAATATGGAATATTTTTATGATCACATGATGCAAAAGCTGGTTGGAATTGGTCCAGCCTTTTTAGCTCCCAATATGGCCTCTTCCCCCCCCCCCGCAATTTATTTTGAAAACAGAATTATTCAAATAGGCTTTTTTTCTGAGATCAGTTGATTCTTTCTTGTAATGAGGGGGCCGTGTCTATGAGTGGTGTTTCAGTGACATAGGCAGTTGAAGTGTGATGTTCAGGACCATGGGAACACCATCCCCCACATTCTCCCCCCCCCCGATTATACTGAGTGTTAAATTTTTTTAAATGTTAAAATATTTTTTAAAAATATAAAACATGAGATTAGTGCTAGACTGAGTGCTATTTATTTATATAACTTACATACCACTCCTGTAGTGTAGTGTATTATACTGAGCAATTTACAGCAGTTGTGAACAATACAAATGCTATTAAACTACAAATGCACAACTAGAAAGTTAAAAACAGTTAACAGATAAAATACATGATGCCAATGGCAGATTCTCCACAAATCAGCAAGTCACCACAACAACGGGACTGGAGGTGTAAAGTCAGGTAGGGTTAGTATGGAACGTCTCTCTGAAAAGTAGTGTTTTACGTTGTTTTCTGAAAATTAACAGGGAGGGGGCCAGGTGTAGCATCAGTGGGAGCTGGTTTCACAAAGTTGGTGCCACCACAAAGAAAGAAGCCCTTGGGGATGGCTTAACAGGCCTTCTTTGGAGTGGCTACCTGGAGGAGCATGGCCTGGGAGGATCTGGTGGGTCTAGATAATCTCTGGGCAATATATTTTTTTAAAAAAGCATGAACAAAACAGAAACAACCTAGACGAAAAAAAGACGTTCTTGTGGTATTTTTGCACACATTAAGAAAGAACAACTATGGAATGCTGACACCTTTCCTGGAATACAATACAACTCTTTTAAAACTAAGACATGAAAGCAAACCAGAAAGGGACAGGCAAAGATGGGACAACAGGAAAGAAGGAAGGATGGTGGGGCTGAAATGTGCATCGCAACACACACTAATGTCTGAGAAATTCAGCTGTTTTACAACTGTGTGATACAGCAGACTGCCAGTCTATCGCCTGCACGTTACTAAGGAATGCAGAGGCGAAAGAGATGCATTAACCGAAGAGACTCCCATCATGTTGGGGGAAACTTCCGACTGAAGAGGAGAATGTTAATCTCATGATAATAGAAATAGGGATGCTTCGTTTACAAGGAGAAAGCAAAGAGAAGTATTACAATTAAGAAGAAACGGTCAAGGAACGACAGTGGAAAATCTATCATGGATTACTGTACAAAAAGGGCGATGAAAAATAAGGAACTTTCGAGCTGAAGGAAGTTTCTATATAAACAGTCTGGTATCTCCATACAGCTCTTCAGTTCTGGAATACATCCTATCACCCGCCAGCGTTTCGCGGACACGTCGAAGAAAATCTATCAACAAGCGAGATCCAACCTGGGAATGCTTCCCTCGCCATAACGTCGATCAACAGGCTTCGAACAGGTGCGCATGCGCAGTATCAGCAAAGTCGTACCAGTGAGGGGCGGGTTAATGTCAGGATTTTTTTTTTGCTGCTACTGAGCATGCTCAGTTGCTTGGCGCATGCTCAGTCGGCGCGAGGGAAGGAGGCCGCCGCCGGTTTCCGTGGTGTACCAGCGTCTCACAGGAGGGGGTGGAAAAAGGAGCACTACCGACTTGACGGCCACCCGTTTCTCACAGACCCGTTTCTTCCCGCAGTAACTTGGAAGAGACAAGGGGCCCGTTGTGTGAAGGGTCGAAGGAAAAGGTGTAATTGAGCCATGCCTCTGTGTTTGTGTGTGTAAGCGCTCACGGCGGCGGCGGTTGCCATGGTAACAGAGGCTGCTCTCCGGCGGCTGCTAAGGGCTTCGCGGGCGTGATTCCAAAAACTCTTTTCTTCTGTCTGGGCGCTTATATATTTCACAGATAAAATTACGTACGTACTTGTATGTGTTTCTTGACGGAAGGAAGGAAGGTGTGAGCAGAAGGTTCTTGGACGGTCTCAGCCCTTGCCGTTCCAGTTAGTTTGAGGGGGGGGGGTTCACGTTCCCCAAAGGGCGCAGGCGTGAGAATCGTTTGGGTAGGAGTGGGCATCATCCCTGAGGTGTGCCCATGACTGGAAGAACGCACTAATTAATTAAAAGCTGAATATAGGATAGTTAAGGATATTGGCAGTGCCTCCTAGGAGATAGAGACCATTAGAACTCTGTCGTTCTCACTTTTGTTGCTCTTAGACCAATGTGTCATTGCAGCCATTCTGCTAGATGTTGGGGTTTCCGGGCCCAGAGTCGTTGATCATTGCCTGTGTTGTCTGGAGTATCTGGGAACTGAGATCCAAAACTGTTTGGGAACCAGAGTTTGTTAGGGCACCTTGATACTTGACAAGGATAAGTGTGTAATGTACTGAATTTGTTTGTAATACAAAGAAACGGAATTGTTGTCAGGATGGGGTGTTGCTATGGAGCTTATAAAGACTGAATTGATTAGTCATGAAATATTGGAGAGATTTTGATCTCATCTTTTCAAATTCTGTGTGGTAAGGTGCTTTCATAAGAAACTGCATTGAGTGTATTCCCCAGTCTTTACGGTTTGCTGTATGCATTTGACGGTTTCTGCCCAGGAATTCTGTTTATGTAATGACAAGAATGCAAGATATATCTAGGAATTGAGCTAGTGAAATGGTTTAAAATTAGAGCTTTTGGAAAAGTTGAACCATCTGAACTCATAATTCTAATCCAACCAAAATAGTAGTAATTGGTGTTCAGGACTTATCTGAATCCTAAAGTGGAACTTGGCCTGACAGTCATGACAGTCAGAAAAGTGCCATTTAAACAGGAAAACTGAAAATAACAGGGACAAATAGTACAGTAGTCTAATTCGTAGTTTTTTACTTGACTTTGTCGTCAACTAACAGGAAAATCAGGTGGTTGAATACCTGCCTTATGCTTTGGAAATAGGAAAGGACCACACAAAAACATTTTTGTATTGTAGTAGTGGATATCCTAGTTATGCCAAAGAGGATTGTGTTTGTCAATTAAAAGAAAAAATCAGCACACACATTAGAAAACACTTGGCATTTTTTTTACCACTTTAGCTGTTATGGCTTCAGCCTCAAGAACCTTAGGAATTGTTGTTTGATGGGCCTGCTGACAGTTTTGTTAGAGTAGAGATGGGGAATCTTTAGCAGTTTAGATGTTTGGACATAAAGTTCCATGAGTGGCTGGTAGCCTGGAAGCACTGAACATAATTTATTACCGTAAATATGCCTCTAGAATCCTTAGTGCAGCCAGAGATGCTCAGGAGAGTCTTTGTCATGCAACTCATTTTTCATCCAAAAAAGTTTGAAAATTACATGAGTAGGGTACAAAAGCAATGTAAATATTGCATAAATACAGCAACATTTTCTATATCTTTATATACTGTAGTCCTTTAATATAAGGAATAAATTTACAGTACAGTCCTATGCCTGCCTTATTCAGAAAGAAGTCGCTGATTTCAGTGGCTGTTAATTTCACATAAATTTGTATAGGTTGGTAATATAAGTTTGCCATATTGGTTATCACTTAGATTTCAGTCTATACATACCTCACTTACTGCATGTGAGAGTATGCAGCTCTTGAGTACAGTAGAACCTGTTGCTGAGTAAACGTTGAACTGATTATTTTGTGCTACATGTAGAGATTTGGAAACAGCTTTATAGCAGGAGAAGAGAGAACTTGCCTATGAAAATAATTTCTTTGAACAAGGTGGAAATTCTATAGAGTATGAAAATGTTAGAACTGTAAATAATGAATTATCAAATTTTGATTCCTCTGGATAGGCATTCTTTTGTCATTCAGTGCATATCTACAATAGGATTTTTGGTTTTCTCTTTAAAACTGGCTAAATCCTGTTGTGCAGCTTCATTTGTGTGGTGGTGATTATGTCATCAGCAAATCACAACTGATTAAACACTTCCTTCGGGGGTTTCAAGAGGCACACAACTTCATTACAGTATATTAACTTATATTATTTATTTATTCATTGAAAATATGTTTACTTTGTCTTTCTCCTTAAAGAGGACCCAAGGCAGCTTACATAGTTAAAAGACAATATTTAAAGCTAACAACGGTAAGTATACACATACTAAAAAGAATCAAATAAATGCCACACTAAAAACAGTTAACAAAATCAACACCAAAAGCACGTTCACATTTGTAAGGTGCTACAATCCAAAACTCCACTCAGGCAGCCTAAGGTAAAGCTTGCTTGAAGAGAAAGGTCTTTGTGTCAGGCAGCCTAAGGTAAAGCTTGCTTAAAGAGAAAGGTCTTTGTCTCCTTGCGGATGGACAGCAAAGATGGAGCCAGCTTGGCTTCTTGTGGGAGTACAGTTGTGTTCAAAATTATTCAACCCCAAGATGGAGCCAGCTTGGCCTCTTGTGGGAGTAAGTTCTGGAGTCTGGGATCAGCAACAAAGAAGGCTCTCTCATGTGTCCTCACCAAATGCAGCCATGAGGGTGTGGGACCAAGAGAAAGTCCTTTCTTGATTATCTTAACATCCTTGCAGGCTGATAATGGGAGACAAGGTCCTTGAGATCCAAGGCATTTAGGGCTTTATAGAGTCGAACCAGCACTTAGAATTGTGCAGCAGTGGAGTTGCTGTAACGGGAGTTATGTGATCCCTGTGAGCAGCCCCAGTTAGCAATCTGGCTGCTACATTTTGGACCAGCTGAAGTTTCCTGACTCCTTCCAGAGGCAGCCCTGTGTAGACTTTGTTACAGTAATCCAGCCAGGATGCAACTAAGGCATGTGTCACTCTTGGTGTGGGTGCAGCTGACACCCTAGTTTTAATAGTGCAAATGCACTGCAGTCCTTGCCACAGTTAAAACTTGGACATTCAGACTCAGAGATGAATCCAGGAGCACCCCGATATTTTTACCTTGAATCGGCTTATAGTTTGCCACTGGTGATGATATCATCGTCATTGTGCATGCAGAGCTGTGCAACAAGATTTTGACTAGTGTATGCTGCTTTTTTCTTTAAACACAAAATGTGTTTCCTTTCTGAGGCAGTATTGTAAACTGCTTTTGAAACTTTGCTTTGTATGATAAAAATCATTTGTTATGTTCTCGGAAGGTCTACTGTTTGAGAAACCAAAGTCAAAAAATTTACTGGGAATACATAGCTAGCTAGATACATAGGTTTTCGATTATTAGATTACTCAGTGAGTTTTTATGAGTAAGCTGGGATCCAGATCATTCAGTGAAATTGGGAAGATTTAAGCTATATAATTCCAAGAACTGTTTCTCATGCCAGATGAATTAAATATTCTGCAGGATAAGAGGAACCATACTGTGGCTTTTAGAGACAAGATTTCAAACAGGAGAATGAGTTTCAGAGAGATTAAAATCAGAATCATTTTGGAGAAAGAAAATGTAAACAAATTTATATGAGAGGTGAAAAAAATAATGTGCCTGTCTTCTGGAAAAATGCTTGAATCCCAGTAAATGTATAATAAGAAAAGTGTGCTAGTTCCCACATTTGTGATGAAGCTATCAATGGAACATGCACATGAGTTGTTACAGGTGGGACATCTGTATCTATTCTTGATGTCTCAAACATATTGCCTTTCAGTGGACCCAGTTCTTGCATTCTGCTGCTAGGCACCAAGTATACAGAGATCGGAGTTAGAGGTCTAGTGCTGGAGAGCCGTAGACAGTTTGTGGAAAAAAATGTTACATCTCCTGAAATAACTAAATACTGTAATGTAAAGTGGGTTGTGCTTAAAAGCTGGTTAGTGGCTTGTCTTTTTATGCAATAGAGGCAGTAAATTAAAAAGAAATATTACAGTCAGATTGCTGATGTTATCTACAAAGTAGTTGAGTTGGCATGTTGCCTTAAGTTATATAAATGCAGAAGGAATCTTTTATTATGTCTGAACTTTCTGAGACTTACATTTTTATGTTCATGATCTATCCTGTGCATGATATTAGTGTTTTCCCTTTTTGGCTGTAGTTTCAGTTTATGTTTTCAATGGAAATTAATACCGTTCAATTTTCATTAGAATAATCCATAAATAATACAGATACTGTAACTTGTCTTGATTATTTTGACAGCAAATGTTTTCTCGTTATCATTCAGATCCTGCTAAGATACCAGCATATTATACATCAAATTGTCAACTTTTAAAAAAAATGATTTTCAAATGAAGTTTTCTATGGACTTGAAGAGTTGTGTTTGACCCTAAAAGTACATAGCAGTGAAGCTTTTGGTGAGTATTTTCTGTGCCTAAGTATTTGACAGTGACTTCATTCCTACTTTAAGTGTTCTCTTCTCTCTATGCAACTTCATTGGCTCTTTGTCATTAGTAATAAAACAGGAAGACAATAGTCACTGAAGTCCCAACGCTTGCAGTGGTTTTGCATTCTGTCATAAACAGAGAACTTGTTTAGACACCTGTGCTAGAGCAGGCTAAATAGGGCCACTAGAAAGTCCAGTGTGCCATTTTGTGCTCTCCTCGTATCCAAATGGTGTACATAGCTGAAGTGACCATTTTTGGTCCCCACCAGCCTGCTGTCGGATTCAGGGGAAGACAGAACTGGGGAGGGGTATTTATGTTTGCTTTTCTTTTAAAGAGCCAATCGAGAAAAGAAAGTAAACATCCCCCTCCTGCTGCCACTGCTGCTGCACTTGCCCCTTTTTAAAAGCCAATCACGCCCCTGCCACAAGATTGTACACATGCACACAGGGGAGTTCTGCTTTCCAAGGGCAAGCCTCATTGCAGTGCCTATGGAAACTAAACACTTCAATGGAGCTGAGGAAATGTTTAATTTATTATATCATGAAGTGTCTCCCTTGTTAAACCACTTCATGATACAGTACTAGCAGATTAAAAAAGGAAGGCTTTGTTTGTTCATTCCTAGTGGTCACATGTACTGGAGATGAACCAAACCAGAGTGAGTCTACCGGCTCCAGAAAAGTAGAATTCCATTGACAGGGCCCAGAAAGATACAGATTGGAATGCTCTGTGGGTGGACTGATTTGCTTTAGCAAATATGTCGTCTGATCGTTTTTTTTAAGGCAACAGCCTTTCTCTGCAGTGATCCAAATAGCAGGCTAAATGCTTGTCTGATTGCACTCAAACTGTGGTATTCTATCTCAAATTTCATACTTTGAATGTCTGAATTGGCTAGACAAGATGAACGTTAAGTTTTGTAAAGATTGCACACATCCACATCCAATGGTTGTGTCTTACAAATTCGCCAAAATATTTATTTCCCAATAATATTTGAATATTGAGGGCAACAATTATAGGATATGAATTTTTTAAAAAAAGATTTAAGTGTATATGCACAGAAGTTTTGAAAGCTTATTGGAGATACTCTGACATAGTCCTGATGAAACATACAGGGTGCATTCAAGTACAGCCCCAAATTGTTTTGAAAGGCCACAAATGCTCCTCTGATAAACAAAACACCTCTCCTCGACACTGCCAGGCCACCCCAAACTAAGTAGTTTCTCAAATGAATGTTTGAAATTTGACTTACTACATAAGATTTTTCATATGTGTGCTGAGAAGACCAAAAAGGCTTGGTAATTTGCTATTCTTGGTCGGAAGTACTGTGCTGAGGGAAAGTGCCTCTGCCCAGATTCTATGGTTACTCAACACAGTGCAGCTTATCCTATCCAGCAATGTCTCCTGAAATACAGTTGTGAGGAGAAAGATGTATAGAGGTCTAGGTTTTTTTTTACTCTAGTTGCACACACCTGAATCTGAACCTAACCCACTATATATTTATCATTGCAAATATGGTAGTAATTTTTAGTTTTTGCAGTCTTTGTTTAAAGTGTGGGGATAAAACACAGGAACATTCTGCTGTGTGGCACATAGTTTAAGTGACATGATGTTATATGGTTTCCTTGGAGTTGCTGGTATTGTAACTGTCATTGTAAATCCAGTATTGTAAGTCAAATTTTAAGATCTACAGTATTTTAATTTATACCTAGGTATGGTAGCAGCCTGTTGTATAAGAGAGCTGTCACGGCATAGTAGGGTCTCCACAGTAGTAGGGTCTCCACAGCCAAGTCATAGGCCACCAATGGCAACATGTGAAATATGTTTTCAGCAAACTGTATTATCTGTCCATACACAGAGGCTAAAATCTTGTTGCTTATTATAGTACTATATTTTTCCGTGTATAAGATAATACTTTTGTCTAAAATATTTAGATTAAAATTGAGAGTCATCTTATACACAAAAGTAAGGAGGGGGAGGGATCAAAGTGCTTTGATTTTGTGCTTTCCCCCTCCACTTTATGGGAAGAATAATCAAAGCACTTTGATTCCTGCTTTCCCCCTCCACTTCCTTGTGAAGAAAGTGTAGGGTTAAAGAATGTATGATTAAGTGGGCACAAAACATAGGGCATAATATTGATATTGATCAATGGTTGAAAATATGGCAAAATAATACAAAGCTCACAAGATCAGTTAATTTTAAGGAGATTATATATAAGATGTTTTATAGGTGGCATATGACTCCAGAAAAACTGTTGAAGATGTATACAGATGTATTAAATCTGTGTTGGAAATGTGAAGCACAAGTGGGAAGCTATTATCACATGTGGTGGTCATGTAGAGTAGCGAAACAGTATTGGAAAAGAGTACATGCTGTGTTGCAACAAATATTGCTTTGTAAGGTGCCACTAACCCCAGAACTGTTTTTATTGAGTATGATACCAGATAACATAGATAAGACAAAGGAATATATAGTTATATACATAGTTACTGCAGCCAGAATTCTCTATGCCAAAAATTGGAAAAGTCCAACGGTACCAAAACAAGAAGACCTTATAGACAAGATACAGGAAACAGCGGAAATGGACATTTTATCAGAAGTGATGAAGGCCTGTCCTTTACAAAAGGCAACAGAAAGATGGGACTTATTCTACAAATGGACTGAATCAACAGGCAGCGTATGAAGAGCATATATTGAAATGAGAACTTAAACCTGGAAGGCAGAAAATAGTAAAAAGAATAATTTGGAATTTTGATATGGCAATAGATATAGAATGGACATTAGTATGTTATTGTTTCTCCTCTTCCCTATTAACCTCAATTCCCCTTTTCCTTTCTGTCATCCCCTTGTTAAAAAGAAGAAGAAGAAGAAAAGAAAGTGTAGGGGGAAAGCACTATCTTCGCAAACAAGTGGAGGGGGAAAGCTTTGATCCCTGCCTTCCCCCTCCACTTTCTTACGAAGAAAGAAATTCTGGGTTAGAAAAGTGGGGAGGTGTCTTATACATGGAAAAATATGGTAAGTTATTGTCATAACTAAAGTAGGCCCATTGAATCGGTAGAACTTAAGAATACAGTAGTTGACTCACCAAATTCCTACTGATTCAGTGAGTATACTCTGTGACTTCAGTGGTTTATTATGTGAGGCACCAGGATTTCAGCCAGACTGTAATATTTCTGCAGGGCCAGAGCATGTTCGCCAAAACCACATCAATTTAAACTTGCATAAATTGAAGAAATGACTGTACATTTTTAGTCTTATTGGACTGATCTTTCAAAGAGCAAGCTTTATGCAAGTATTGAATCTAGTCCTTAAACATCTGTCAAACTTGGAAAAAGATAATGATGCCTGACTTACAGTTCTACACTGTGTGACTGTATGCTATGTTGGGAAGCTTTGACAAATCTGGAAGCCAATCCCCACTTTCCAATTTAACAGCAACTGAGAAAAAAAGCACCTTGAAGTAAATGCTTTTTTAAAAGGTACTTTCCTGGTTTGCAATGGAGTTTTTAAAAAAGTGGAAAAAACTGTTTAAAACAAAAAATCTGTTTGTTTTAAAGGACTTTTAGCTGTTCATTAGCATAATTTGGTGCACAATTTGTTATCAGATTTCAATGGTAGAGTTTTTGGGGGCAGGCGGAGGATCTGAAAAAGTACAGTGGTGCCTCGCTTAACGAGCGCACCGCATAACGACGAAATCGCATAGCGATCCGTTTATTCGGATTGCTAATGCGCTCGCTTAACGTTTTTCTAATAGGGCACAATTCGCTTTGCGAAGACCAGTAAGCGTTTCGCTTACCGATCTTCGCAAACCGAAGCCCGATGATCAGCTGTTCGGGGGCCAAAATGGCCACCGGAAGCCCGGAAATGGCCCAAAATGACCGCGCGCAGCGTTTTCGCGCCCTCGTTAAGCGAGGCGAGGGCGCGAAAATGGCTGCCGGCCATTAAGAAGCTTCGCTGAACGGTGAGTATTTGGCCCATTTGGAACGCATTAAACCATGTTTAATGCGTTCCATTGGAAATCCCTGCCCCATTCAACGATGCTTCTGCATAGCGAAGGTTAATCCGGAACGGATTAACCTCGGTATGCGAGGCACCACTGTATATTGATTGTATTGCTTCTCTCAACTTAAGGCACTCAGAACTTACCTGAGCTTATCCTATGTTTACTGTAGATCTCAATTTCTTACATTTCCAGGGCACTTCCTGATGCTGTGGCTATAATGTTGTAGGACGTAATTAAGATAGACTGTAGACAAGAGGAAGTATGCAGCGCCAGAGAATCATGTAATAAAAAGCTTTTGCTAGATGTAGACTAGACTGACCATGCTGATCTGCAGTGCAGACAGATGGCCAAGCAGCATGAACAGATTTATTCATCTGTTTGATTTCTACTCTGCTTTTCTCCCTGTAGAGGGACTCAAGGCAGCTTACAAATGGTTTAAAAACACAAATATTAAAACAATTACAAAATTAAAAAATTACATTAAAATAGTTATTGAAATGTAGAGTATACAAAGTCTGTTAAATCTAATTAAAAACACATTTTAAGAGTTAAAAGAATCAGTTCTCCCTTTGAAAATTGCTTCCTTAGCAGCAGTTTGCAAACATTGCATATTAGATGCCTACCTGAAAAGTGAGGTCTTTGCCTGCTAGTAGAAGGACAAGAGGGTGAAGGGCTTTTGTATAAGGGAGTTCCATAACCTGAGAACAGGCACAGAAACGGACCTCAACCAATCATGCCTGTGGGGATAGTGGGACCAAGCAAAAGGCCTCCCTCAAAGATCTGAAAGCCAAAGACGGCTACCTTGGAGAGATAAAATCCCTCAAATAACTTGGAGCCAAGTTGTTCAGTGCTTTATAGGTTACAACCAGCACTTTGAATTGTGCCTCAAATGAACTGTTGTTGTTTAGTCGTTAGGTCGTGTCTGATTCTTCGTGACCCCATGGACCAGAACACGCCAGGCCCTCCTGTCTTCGACTGCCTCCCGGAATTTGGTCAAAGTCATGTTGGTAGCTTCAGTGATACTGTCCAGCTGTCTCATTCTCTGTCGTCCCCTTCTTCTCTTGCCTTCACACTTTCCTAACATCAGGGTCTTTTCCAGTGAGTCTTCTCTTCTCATGAGATGGCCAGAGTATTGGAGCCTCAGCTTCGGGATCTGTCCTTCCAGTGAGCACTCAGGGTTGATTTCCTTTAGAATGGATAGGTTTGTTCTCCTTGCAGTCTAGGGGACTCTCAAGAATCTCCTCCGGCACCACAATGCAAAAGCATTAGTTCTTTGGCGGTCAGTCTTCTTTATGGTCCATCTCTCACTTCCATACATTGCTACAATAGTTTTGACTATGTGGACCTTTGCCGGCAAGGTGACATCTCTGCTTTTTAAGATGCTTTCTAGGTTGTTTTTGGCCATGCTTTCTAAGGCCCACTTGACTTCACTCTCCAGGATGTCTGGCTCAAGGTCAGCAGCCACACTATCAGGGTTGTCCGGGGCATCCAAATCTTTCTGGTATAGTTCCTCTTTGTATTCTTGCCACTTCTTCTTGATGTGTTCTGCTTCTGTGAGATCCCTACCCTTTTTGTTCTTTATCATGTCCAACTTTGCACAAAATGTTCCTTTAGTAGCTCCAATTTTCTTCAGCAGATCTCTGGTTTTCCCTTTCTATTATTTTCTCTATTCCTTTTACTGTTCATTTAAGAAGGCCCTCTTGTCTCTCCTTGCTATT